ATAATGGTTGATTAATTTTATGAGTATTACCAGCATCAAGGCTTTTACTAGCTCTAAAAAATGATAAAGATTTAGTGTTACATTAATTTTATTGATGGCATGCATACTGAAACAAAAATATGGAAATATAAATAAATATGTGGTTTAGAAAATTCATCTAAATTATTTACTGGAATTTAAGTAAAAAATTAAGAGCTAAATTTGTAAATTTTATCCAAGATAAATATTAGTACATCTATGATTTTTATTGCTATTCGTTTTTACCATGATAATTGTTCTAGTATTTTGGTAATCCTACAGAAAATAAAAAAATTTCCTCAGGCTGTGAATGAATGCTATGTGGGATTTAAAAACAAGATTTTTGATCTCGCCAACCTTGGAAAAGCATGTTTTCAACTCATGTTGCTGTCACCTTCGCTTAGAATTCCTCTTAATCATGAGAAATGATGAAATGTTTAGCTAATAATTTGTGCAAATTTGTTGATCTGGATGTGAAGCATATGTCAAAGAGGGAGATACGCATCATAACTACGACTCAACATATATACATCATTTATATATAAAATATTTCAAATTCTTTCGCCATATGTTTCTGTAATAGAATTATGTATCTCTTTATATATATATATTAAATTCAATGCAATTCAATATTTATTTCGGATCAGTTTCCACAGATAAATCAATCACAAGTGAATTTCAAGGCTCAGTACTATCAGAAGATATAAACAATATAAATAAATAATATAGGCCTGAAAGCAAGTCAATTAATTAATTAATTAATGACAGAGCATGATGTTTCTACCATACCAGTACATACAAAAATAACAGAATATAAAAATATATAAAATTTAAAAATTATCAACAATATCTATACATAATAATAATTAATAGTATATATGTACTGAAGTCATTGAATGTGTGATGATAGTCCTTCACATTAGATTGTGTGGTTTGTTTTCATTTAATCTGCCCGTTTTTCTTTTTCCAGTTTTTCTTTTTCATCTAAAAAGCACAATGAAATTTGCAAATAAATGCACTAAGTCCCCATAAAAAAAAATTATTGGTTTATCACCCCCTCCCTCATCACTTTTGGGGAAACGGTCGTTTTTCCATCTGTTTTCACTTGAAAAGCTCAGGATTTCTTGCAAATATGTTTACTTGTACAACAAAAACATATTTTTTTAAATATAAAGTTGATTCCATTCTTATGAATTTTTAAATATGTGTCCCTAACCATTGATTTCCTTGTGAACGTGGGTATAATGGGGGGGGGGATTCTTTGACAGGATGTGATAAATTAATAATATTTTTTATGGGGCCTAATATTCATTCAATTATTTTCCTAACAGAACTATTAAAAATTTAAAAAAAATGGAATCAGAAATTACACATTGTATAAACATAACATTAACAGTCTCTAAAAACCTTTCGCTCATCCGCATGTAAAATCGATTGGTGCTGTAATGGACAAACAAGATTATACATTTTCCACATATATTTTGGCAATTTTGGTCGAATGTTTTGGTTGTCAATGAATCCCTTGTGTGCAAAAAGTTGATTTTAATTTCAAGTATGGTAATTTTATTCCCATTAGTTGAAAAATGTAAGTTAATCCCGATCTGTACAGCGAGAATCTTTATTCCTACTGGATTTACGTTTTCTCGACTATCATGTGTGAAACTGATGGATGGTAAAATGCTTGTTAAAATAATGTTTTTCATCAAGATTAGTTATTAATTACATTAAAGTTACAAATATTGTGGATTTATGTGAAATCTGAATATACATAAGAAAATGTATCACTGTAAAACCTCGGATTGTAGCCCTGGGCAACTTTTTTTTTTTGTGAACTTGGGTGGGCTTCTTTTTGAGATGGGCTTCTTTTCGAGACTACTTTTGCAAAGTAATGAGAGGTTGGCTTCTTTTCAAAGTGAATGTTGTAAATTTTGTGAATTTGTACTATAAAACAATAAATAAGGCCACTGCAACATCAATCTGTATCATGGAGTGTATTAAACTGGCATTAAATCACCTCAAACTACTGTATAAACCAAGTTTGTATTTAATTTATTTTGTTTTCTGAAATTATGTACAGTATATTTACTGTACTATCTAGAAAAAAAAAAAAAAACCTATGCAAAATTAAGTCAGAGTAATAGAGTTGGTTTTTGTTGTGAAAAAAAAAAATTGTGATGTCACAAGAATTGAACCCAGGACCCTGGGAATGGAAGGCAAGCATCTTAACCACTAAGTTACAGCTCCATTAAATGCATGTCAACTTAAACTTTAAAAATACTTTTTATCTATATTATTAAAAAAACTTATATTTCTTTCTGTGAAATTACTTAAAGATTATAATTCTTTATAGCCATAATATAAACTTCAGTAAGATTAACTTTTATTGACAGTTTTGATGGTACATTGATTAGCTAACTACAAAGATCTTGGGTTTCTAGTTACAAGTAGTTTCCAAATAAACAGTAATTATTGGAATCAAAAGTTTAATCAAAAGCCTTACCTAAGGCAATTGTAGTTACATACTTTAATGTACAATTTGAAGTTGTTATTCTTTTAACGTCGACAGAGAATTTATTAACATTATCTACAATTCCGCATGTCTAAAATTTATCTTGGCAAACAAGAGCAAAGATAGATTGATGGAGATAAGTGATATGTACGCAAAGTATTATGTCTGTTCTTCTTGTAATTCGCCTCAAGCTAGTAAAGAATCATTCATATAGCCTCCTAGCAAATTCACCAAGATAAAGTTATCTTTTGAAGACAGTACTGATGTGTTTTTAATCCGATTCTGCAACTGTATTTTAATTTTCTTCGAGAAATTAAGCTATCATGGTTATCCTTGCTGGGGAGCGTTTGATGATAAGTGTCTTTAAAGATGTTTACCCGATACAATTGATCACTGGTTTCTACATCTTTGGAACTCGACTATCATGTGTGAAACTGATGGATGGTAAAATGCTTGTTAAAATAATGTTTTTCATCAAGATTAGTTATTAATTACATTAAAGTTACAAATATGGTGGATTTATGTGAAATCTGAATATACATAAGAAAATGTATCACTGTAAAACCTCGGATTGTAGCCCTGGGCAACTTTTTTTTTGTGAACTTGGGTGGGCTTCTTTTTGAGATGGGCTTCTTTTCGAGACTTCTTTTGCAAAGTAATGAGAGGTTGGCTTCTTTTCAAAGTGAATGTTGTAAATTTTGTGAATTTGTACTATAAAACAATAAATAAGGCCACTGCAACATCAATCTGTATCGTGGAGTGTATTAAACTGGCATTAAATCACCTCAAACTACTGTATAAACCAAGTTTGTATTTAATTTATTTTGTTTTCTGAAATTATGTACAGTATATTTACTGTACTACCTAGAAAAAAAAAAACCTATGCAAAATTAAGTCAGAGTAATAGAGTTGGTTTTTGTTGTGAAAAAAAAAAATTGTGATGTCACAAGAATTGAACCCAGGACTCTGGGAATGGAAGGCAAGCATCTTAACCACTAAGTTACAGCTCCATTAAATGCATGTCAACTTAAACTTTAAAAATACTTTTTATCTATATTATTAAAAAAACTTATATTTCTTTCTGTGAAATTACTTAAAGATTATAATTCTTTATAGCCATAATATAAACTTCAGTAAGATTAACTTTTATTGACAGTTTTGATGGTACATTGATTAGCTAACTACAAAGATCTTGGGTTTCTAGTTACAAGTAGTTTCCAAATAAACAGTAATTATTGGAATCAAAAGTTTAATCAAAAGCCTTACCTAAGGCAATTGTAGTTACATACTTTAATGTACAATTTGAAGTTGTTATTCTTTTAACGTCGACAGAGAATTTATTAACATTATCTACAATTCCGCATGTCTAAAATTTATCTTGGCAAACAAGAGCAAAGATAGATTGATGGAGATAAGTGATATGTACGCAAAGTATTATGTCTGTTCTTCTTGTAATTCGCCTCAAGCTAGTAAAGAATCATTCATATAGCCTCCTAGCAAATTCACCAAGATAAAGTTATCTTTTGAAGACAGTACTGATGTGTTTTTAATCCGATTCTGCAACTGTATTTTAATTTTCTTCGAGAAATTAAGCTATCATGGTTATCCTTGCTGGGGAGCGTTTGATGATAAGTGTCTTTAAAGATGTTTACCCGATACAATTGATCACTGGTTTCTACATCTTTGGAATCAAAGTATTTTGTAGATAATCGGAAAAGTGATCGTTTACTTATGACTTTGAATGACTGGCATATGAATAAGAGACAAAGTAGATCTATATGTTTTTCCTTACTCACGCTCAAAAACAATCTATTACTCTTTAAAGTTTTTGCTAAACACAATTTCAAAGTGTGTTGAATAAGTAAGGACAGATTTAATATTTTTATACTATTTAGTTATGTTATATTACCTTCATTTATTTAAATGCAGTTCGCCCTTCAAATCCAATTCGAGACCGCCTTTGGTACCTGAAAATTTGGGGTGGTCTCGGGTTAAAGGGTGCAATGTAAACCTAATTCAGTGGCCAGGACACTCAAATTAGGGAGGGGTTTTTTTCATGAGAAAAAAAATCCGAGAGTCTGACAGAAGTCGAAACCAAGGACCTTACAATTTGAAGACAAGCATCTTAACCACTAAGTTACAACTCTACTCCACTATATTATTATTAATGTTATTTATTAATTTAAAAAATATATATGTTTAATAAAAATCTTAAAATGTTATTGTTTTATAATTATTGTATATTATTGTTTATTGTTATTTTGTTTATGTTATCATTTTATTAATTATTATTACCACTTTTTTCAGATTGGATAGATTTGTTTTTAATGTAATCATAAAGATATACATATCGTATATGATATGGAGATCTACATATCAAATATTTTAAGCTGACTACACTGAATATCTTTTGCAAATATGTGTTCATGAGTAAAAGCATAGCATACCGATGAAGATTCTGATTTCATGTTAGGTCAATGCAAATATATATCAACCTACTTCTCTTCTGAACATCGCAACAACAAAAACAACTACATCAATGAAGGGATGGAATGCTTATACGACATGCGCGACCTTCCGATCACCTCTATCCATTTGAAAAAGAAATGTTTTCGTGCTGTGGATGAGCCGGGAGAGTTAATGGGTAAATATCAGCATAAAAAAGCTAACGCTTCTCTGACAAATCGTGTGATCTCGTATTGATGATATACGGTTAGTGTGATGTAACCATGTTAATTATGAAAGTAACTCATCCATATATTCATGGTTAACACATTGCGAAGATGAGTTAATGTTGTAATGCGGAATGTTTTAACTCTCAGAAAAAGAAAATCATCTATTAATTGAATATAAAATATATTTGTGTTTAGAGTATAGAGAGTAATGCTTAATTGCAAGAGAAATAATTGGTTAAAATTTCCAATAAAAGTATTGAATTATTCAATAGGGAATTACTTTAAGAAAATGCATTGCCCAAAAAATTTATACTTTAATTGGAAACTTTGATAAGATTATTAGTGTATTATTAATTAAAAAAAACATGAAGAAATGATTGGTCAACTGCTTAGTAAATTATCAAATTGGACAACAATAGGGATGAATTATTAAATAGACACGCCCACTAAAAAAAGCAGAATATTTGTTTTTGTATAACTGGTACTTTCAGACATACTTTAATAAAAAAAAAAAAAAATCCCAACTTTTTGTATACATGTTTCATAATCTAATTTATGATACTAAACTTAATGAATAGACTTAGTAAGATTTGATAGAAGTAGTATGCGTTACACGAATAAATCAAAAACGGAAATTAGTATGTATAATTGGTACTATAGTATTAAATGAGTTATGTTTGCTCACAAAGGTTAGCTTACAAGTGTAGACAATGTTTGCCTTATGTTTCTAAGGTCCTCATTCATGAGCATTAGTCAAAAATGTTGTTTGTGCATTTTTCCCAACTATATTTACAGGAAACATTTTTTTTTATTGCCGAATTCCCTAGGTAGTAAAGCATAAAAGACAAACAACCAAACACTCAAAACACAATAGAAAAGGCCATTGTTGTATTCTGAATCATTCTGAAAAACTTCCCTGCCATTCAGTTTTGTTAGTAAAGTTAATCATTTTGTGACAAAAGGGTTATGGCCTGGCTTGGTGTAAGCACCTATTTATAAGCCCTGACCATGCTACACTTGTAATGGTACCTGTTTTTGTAGCCTTTCTAATTATTATAGGCGTTCGGCAGCCATTAGATCTGTGCACAAATATTAACCAAAACCAAAAATATTAAAAACTGAATGTTGTTTGATAATTGTTAAAATTAATATGGGTGATTGAAACTGTTTTTGAAAATTGTTTTCTATCAAGTTGACTGATAAGGCATGAACAATTTTGGTATCCCCCTCTCATGTTTTACACCGTTACAGTACGGAACTTGTTATGTAATGAAATGTAGGAATTTTACATGGATCATCATTAATGATGGCCTTCTTGACTGATCATTTGAGTTGTTCGCCTTTAGAGTCTTATTAAAGTGGTGTGATGTTTGCTCTCTGAATTTCATTTAAAATTGTGTCGCCATTTAACTTCATTTTCTGTTGGTTACCTGTCGTTTTAATGTTATTTATGGATATAGGTGGATTAACTATTTCAAACCCATTCCTTCATTGTCAAAGAAGTTCTTAGCCAGTTATGATAGTGTTTAGTTTGAATTTATTTTCTTTGACGGATATGTACACTGAATCATTTTAATACAAACCAGTCAACATATTGTATTCCCGCCATAGAGTATTTGATTTATAGATCGTAAATTTATCAAACTGCAAAAAATTAAAAGCAATTAATTCTTTTGCATCTATTTAACTGATTTATTTGGCTTACCATATACATTTGTAAAAAATGTTTTTTACACATATTGCCTGATAATCTACTGACTCTAAATCCATTAAAATTTATAGAAAATATTATCCAATATAAATGAGAGAGTGATTCATGCCTTGACACATCATTTATTTAATACTATTCTTTTTTTTTTGCTTTGCATTGAAATCCATTATTGGGCTGGTAATAAATTTTAGGATTTAGTATTAAAAACAGTGTATTGATTTGTTATGTCTACTTATTGCAAGTTTAATAATGTGATCTTTTTAAATGATAATTTCAATGTTATTGATTTTTTGGAGTGTTTTTCAGACTCTTATATTCTATACATCATCAATTGAAATAAGTCAGAGTTATCCTCTAAAGGTTTATTTCTTCTTCTTGTTCTCTATTAAAGATTCAAACTTTAGTCTGATCCATTTCTTGAAATTCATCATTTTCATATACATACATAATATACATATAAAACATACAATTCACAATTTTGGATTTATATTGAAAAGAATCATATAAAAAACAATTTTGATAATTTTTTTTTATGATAATAGGGTGCATCAAATATATGGTACCATATAATAAAATATATTAATTTTAAAGAGATTATTCTGGAATGAAATCTATTATGTTACCATACTAACCAAAACCTAAGCCAGTCTTTTTTTATGACCGACAAAGAAATACATATTGTTATTATATTTTATGATCTGATATCATTTCGGTTTATCCAGTTGATAGTGTTTCACAAATAATATGTTCTTTATCATTTTGTTATCTTGCATACATATTTGCTTAGGTAGCCTCACCATATCAAATTGTGATATATCTGTCTATTCCTAGTACTGGCTTTTCTGAAATTAAACAAAAAGTCATGTTTATTATTTGCATTATTTTGGAGTGGGGAGAATAAGGAATTCCCTGTTTTTTTCAAAGCTACTTATTTAAACACAAACAGTCGGATCTAGGTCTATGCTAGGCAAGTTGTTTAACTCCAGAATTCAATGATAGGGGTTGAACAAGTCTGATAAGGGCATCAGATTCTGGGCCTCCTGTCAGGGGGAAAAATAAATCCCTTTCTTGTATATAGTAGTCAAGAGAGAGAGAGAGAATAACTTTATGGTTTATTGCACCACATTAGTAGGAATTGTCTATTAAAATAACTTATGGTTGGACTTATAAAAATGATAATTTATTGACATACACCAATTATATCGGCAGCACTCAACAGGTGGTGCATTATGCAAACATCTTAACTAATACAAATTGAATCTAGTGAAAATCAAAACTAGTAAAATATATATAAAATGAAAATTAATAATGGTAGTCAGATGACTTCAATCAAGTGGTGTCTGATGACAAGGGGGATCATGCTTGCCCGACAATACTTTAGTAAACAGTAGGTCATATAATAAATATTTATATTATATACCGTACCAGTAAGTCCATGCAATTTTAGAATGCATATTGCCTGCTAATGTGCTTCAATAAAATCTGTTTCAATATGGTGTAAAGTGTACACTTAAAATAACTAAAAAGTTCCAAATCACAGACACCCAGAATAAAGAAGATATCAAGTGGCTTCTGCTATGTTATGTTTTTTTGTCAACGGTTGACTGCAATTATTAATTGTAGACACTTAGCGTTGGAGCGGAAGATTTAATCATCTCTAGTGTGAAATGAAGTAACTCTGTTGTTGTTTTTCAGCATCTCCAGTTAAAGGGTCTATTTACATTTTACTGGGGTTAGAATGTCAACAACTGAGACACAGTGTAAACAGAGTGTTGCATATTAAGGCAGGTTTTAGTTAGGGGAAAGGTGGCTCTTCGGGCATGTAAACAACTCCTGATAAAAAAAACTAACTATAAGTCAATATGTTGACTTACTAACGGATTCACTGCCACTCTGAGACCAAACATAATCCTTTTAGTATTTTTAATTAAAGGCAATGACTATTTTTACACCAGTCTTAAACTAATTCCTAATTCTGATTATTGTCCTAATCCAATCCATATATACAATAACACAAAAATCCAAAGTAGACCACTGCTGCAGAGCATTCCCTTGTTTGTTTGAGTAGTCAGAAAAGATAAAAACAAAAAATTGTATCATCGCGATGTACAGGTCACCTCCATCCTCGAATGAGGTCAAACTGACCATGCACAGATTTATATTATTAATAATCAGCATATCTAATACGATAAACATTTTGTATTGAAATGATGTATTGTAATGATTTGACGAATAATAATATTACCTTTTAGTTACCTTTAATACACCATCTCTTGATCAAAGAAGACTAATTATTTATTTCATTTTGTATATCGCATTACAATGCATTATTTTAATATCATCAACGAAAAACAAGTTTTCTAGCCATCAATACACATCCATAATTCAGATACTAATTTGCCATCTGAGTGATGTCTAGACTGGGCTTCAAATAACTGAGTTTCTAGAGATTACCTGGCCTATATTTTTTTTTAAACTTTTAATTTAAATGATTCATGTTATATTGATAGCCCAGTATTCGGTATTTAGTTTCACCTGCTTTTTTTTAATAATTTAATATTTTCGTTATTATTTTTTTTTTTATTAAGCATATGTGATTTCATCAACTTCGTATGTATTTGATATATTAATATTTTAAAGTGCAAATTTATGCTAATAAAATTTGTACAAATAAGGCCTGTCACAGCATTGATGGGATCAAAATATATAATGCAGTTAAATAAAGTATTTAATATCATTAAATTATTATTAATCACCCTTAGTGGATTTTTTTTTTGTAAAATGAAAGGTCCTGACTTTTAAAATTATATTTTTTTCATCTGGGTTATTTATTTTGTTATTGTAAGACAGTTGTTAATGATTATTTAATTTTGAGTTACCATAAGCCACACCGTTTATAAATTCATGGTAGTTATGTATTAATAATACCATATGTTGGGAATGCATAGTTAATGTTTTCCATGGAAGCTGTTTGTTACAGTCAAATATAAGCATAAACAAATCACAAATCACTTAGTCCATTAACAAACACAAAGGCACATAAAATTAACACCAAATTTAAAGCTGGAACATCTGGAGAAATGAATAGGAATACGATGTACCTAACAGTATATTTGATTTAAAAATTCAAAGTCACTATTATATACTTAGGTTCATAGAGAGACGGGATAGGGTAACCAATAAATCTAACCGATTTCCTTCCCTTAATAGGAAACAAGACTGTTATCTGCATACAACATTCAATTCAGATGTTACAAT